CTCCCTCATCCGCCACTCCCGCGCCCGGCCCTCCCTCATCCGACACTCCCGCGCCCGGCCCTCCCTCATCCGACACTCCCGCGCTCGGCCCTTCTGATCATCCATCTGTCAGCTGCCCGAAGAATCACATGGACTGTACCATATGTGCTCTATCTCATGGACTGTCACAGTGTGCAGTGGAGAAGTACAGCACTCCATGTATGGCATTCCTTGACAGGAACACTAAAAAGAAATGCTGAAGTCGGCTCATTTAATATGGATGGTTTTTCCTTGACCCCAAAGACTACAGTGTGACGAATGAAGTGGCAAGTACTCCAAAAATCTTACAAATGCTTTGATGGCTTCCTCTGGGAGAAGATACATTCTACAAGACTGCCCTATCCATGGTACAGATCTATGTTTGTATCTGACGTCAGTAAGGCTAGGTTCACACCTGCACGACACCCGGGATAGCGCGGTCCTGCACAATGCAGGCAGCGATTGCCGTGCGGCCCCACTGATTTCAATGGGGTGACATCCGTGCGGCAATCTCAGAAAAAAGTACAAGTACCTTCTTTTTGAGATACACAACGCGTGGCCAGCGCGACTGGGGTGCCATTAGAAAATAACGGCACCCACAGCACGATCAGTTCACACCTTGGCGACTCCTGATCGCGCGCGGAATCGTGCACGATTACCGTGACACGAGATGTTCGAGTCCGCCTGATTGCTTTTGTGAAAACCTTCCGTTGGAGGATGTAAATGGAATAAGGGAGAGAAGCATTTGAATCACGATCCCGACATCGGTAGTGTGATGTTGGGTAGCACACAGACCACTCGCACAGGGGGTGTTAGAACAAACAGGTTTTTTTATTGTCCTCTTCAGGGCAATCAAAATGGTAAACACAAATGTAAGCTTATCTTCAGCATAACTTAAGGCAAAAGTCTGTATCTTCGGCACAAATAAGATAACATAAAGACCTGTCTCACCAGTTTGTCATACAGAGTCCCAAAGTATTTCAGCAATACAGCAGGTTGTTCATACATCAGCCACAGCTGATCACTCTCTCCTCACAACTCCCCCCTCAGGGTCAGAGCCTCGGCCTGCTCATGGCCAGACACCCAGCAGCTTTGCCTCCTTGTGTGAGGACGGTTCTCCCAGCCTTTCCAAACACACCTCGTCTGCCACAGACCCTCCTGGCCTCGCCCACACACCTCGTGTGCCACAGACCCTCCTGGCCTCGCCCACACACCTCGTGTGCCACAGACCCTCCTGGCCTCGCCCACACACCTCATGAGCCACAGACCCTCCTGGCCTCGCCCACACACCTCATGAGCCACAGACCCTCCTGGCCTCGCCCACACACCTCATGAGCCACAGACCCTCCTGGCCTCGCCCACACACCTCATGAGCCACAGACACTCCTGGCCTCGCCCACACACCTCGTGTGCCACAGACCCTCCTGGCCTCGCCCACACACCTCATGAGCCACAGACCCTCCTGGCCTCGCCCACACACCTCATGAGCCACAGACCCTCCTGGCCTCCCCCACACCCCTCGTGTGCCACAGACCCTCCTGGCCTCGCCCACACACCTCATGAGCCACAGACCCTCCTAGCCTCCCCCACACACCTCGTGAGGCACAGACCGTCCTGGCCTTGCCCACACACCTCGTGTGCCACAGACCCTCTTGGCCTCCCCCACACACCTCGTGAGCCACAGACCCGCCTGGTCCACACACCTCCTGTGCCACAGACCCTCCTTGCCTCGCCCAGACCCTCCTGGCCTCGCCCACACACCTCGTGTGCCACAGACCCTCCTGGGAAATCCCGCGATCGTACGATAATCGGCAGGTGTATGGAAGGCGTGCGACCGTTTCTACTGTACGGTCGCACGTCTCTTGTCT